TTTCAGCCAAAGGAGAGCCTTTTAATGAAAAGGAAGCTAAATACAAACTGTCTAACTAACAGGATCACAATTTGAACATAACGTACAAATATAAGGGAAGACGGACACAATATATACACAGGAAGGTGGTTAGGAGAAGTGGAGACAGGGAACATGGAAACACAGCTAGAGAAACATAGACATGACAAGATGAGTGAAGCAAAGCAGAACACGAGGCACACGAGATGACGACTACCAAAATAAACAGGAACTCACAAACGCTGAGACACGGACACAGAGACGTGAAGAGACAGAGAGAGCGAGAGACATGACTGAGGAAACAGATACTCTTGTCTACATGCTTATTAACCTGATTTTACAGCAAGACATTGAGGACAAGACACAGAGACGACACAAAGACATGAACGCAACCTAATATCAAACAAGACACTGTGAACTGTGAAAAATGAGAAGTACTACATATTACTCTAGATATTAGATACATGCAAGTTAATATATGAAATACCTTTGAAAACATCCATGTTTATAAAAGTGCCATGCTGCAGCACCAACAACATTGAGGAAAAGCAAAACACCAAATAAGGCCGAAGCAGCAGAGCATGCTCCTACAGGGACACAGTAATGAAGAACATGAGAATGAGATGATTGTTCTTTCCCACTTTCATGACATTTAGTTTGTTATTTCACATTTCATTAAAAAGACTGAGACAATAAGGAAACATAATCTACCCAACACAAATCAAGCATGCAGCTCACAAAGAATGAGATTTCCACACTGGATCAGTGGGTGGCTGTGTTTATAATGAGGGTTTATAATGACTGTCTCCAGTGCTTTTGGCCAACAGGATGCTGGTAGAAACTGTGCTACTGTTGGCCAAACACAGATCACTTGAGACAAACAAAAAGAACCAATAAAATGAATGTTTCAGCTGAAACTGTTATTCAAGCTACTTTACCTGCTCCATGTAAAATTTGCACTTGGGTTGGCTTCTGTCACACACTCAAATGAGTCCTCAGAACTTGCTCTAATGTTCACTTCTGTGGGAGAGACTGCAAGAGCAGAAAGACAAATAACATGAAAATAATGTTTTGCCCCTGTCTCCTACATCTTCGATCCGAACTCGACAAACTTTTGGGACTGAGGCTGATGCTGTACGTGACAGGCCATGATTCAGTCTTTAGCAATAATTGTGAAACAATGCTCTTTTTTAAATCAGTCTAGATGTTTTTGTCTTTCAGAAAGGATTTTCCCATCTATTGTGACAACATGCTACTGTGTGACAAACAGGAGGCAAAGTCACGAGATCTGGGATATTTCACTCCCATTCATTTAAAAAAACAAACAAAAGAAGAACAAACAAACTCCAAAACAAACTTTCTGGAGTTGATTAGTTTTAGTCATTTCTTTGAGGGTTTTGTGAAACATCAAAGTAAAACTGCCTTTGTTTACATCATTTAATGATGTAAGGAGTCAAACCAAAGTTTGGTAAGGCAAGGCAAGGCAAAGACTATCAGTCCCTCAGTAGAGCTGTAGGTATTTTGTCTTTTGTAAATAAACTGTTCAATCGTTTCACTAAAAGAGTCCTGCGACTGAGTCTGTTCATACATTGCGACAGATGTGTCCACTGGCTAATCCACTAGCAAACTTTGCAGAGATTTCCAAGAAAAAATATAACAAATACATCAACCATGGATAAAAACAAATAATAAACTACATCAGCAGCTGATACTCACAGAAACCTGTAAGGCAAGGCAAGTTTATTTGTATAGCACAATTCAACAACAAGGTGATTCAAAGTGCTTTACAGAGACATTAGAAACAAAAACAAATAAAAAGCATGATTTAAAATTGATTAAAACAAGC